AAAGAATACAGCTGACAGATGAGATTGAGACTATGGGTGAGTGCAGGTGGGCTGGAATGCAGATAACAGTTCCTACACAGGTTGCAGCAAGGGAGTTATGGCGGAGAGGAGCGAAGATGAGTATAGTGAAGGCGAGAACAGCGAGAGTCTTCCTGAGGCCAACGACTGTGCAAGGCAGGCAATGCGACAAAGGACACTGGACATTATACGTCGCCCGTGCCTGGAACCTGGTTAAGGAGATAAGGACGACAACACAACAAAACATACAACACTACAGTGACTGGGAGGGACAGGAGCGCCCCGAAATGGGTGCAGCCACGGCCTGCCCCCCTGGATGATAGGATAACGACGATTCGGCCGCTGCAAAAGCCTCACAGTCCACCTCGCCTTGAGCCCATGGGCAGCGAGGCACGCCACCCGGATCATGACGACAGCTGGCAGATTGGGTAGCTATGGGCTACCTACGAGTACTGATATGATGGCTTGCTTGACTGTGCACTTGGTGCGATGTGGGTTGAATGTGCTTCCATAACAATGACTGTTACACTGTCAAGGGACGCTGGACCCGATTTCCAGCAGGTGCAGCTCCCCACTAATAGATGGAGCCTCCCCGAGCATGCTAGTGGTGTCTGCTCTTATCAGCACCCCTAGCAGCTGCTCGGGTTGTTTCTTCAAAAAAAAAAAAGGATGGGGTAAGGGTGCAGTTTCAGGCCGGGGGGGGCTGGTAGGCCACCAGGCAATTTTGTTTTGCTCTTTTTCCCCCTTCTTTTCTATTCTTCGTTTAATTGTTTTTCCTTAGTTGCTTGTTTTGTTTGGTTGGCAAACGCCAAGTGTTGTTGGGGTAAGGCCCACATACCAAGCTGGGTACTGGTCCCAGTGAAGTGCTTCAGTGACTCATTCCGGTTTGTTTGTGAGGATTCCCGGCCTCATGGTTCATTTCATGATAATGGATATCCTCTTTTTCCCCCCCAAAAAAATATCTATTTGACGATATATACTACGACTTCGCTAGCTTCCTGCTACGGTTTTCTCCGGTCAGGTCGAGCGGCAGTGGTCGGGGCCGTCACTACGCGGCCA